CTGCTGTCAGCTATAAAGAAGGTGAACGTGTTTAATCCCATCTCAGTTTAATCTGCTTCTGGACCTAAATCCATATTCCCACTTAAGTAACTCACTTGCAAGCTCTGTTTGTTTCAAAATGCTAATAATGTAAATATTTTGTGGACACAAAAATCAGATTAGCAATAAATAAGGTTAGTAGATAATGATATGGGAAGAATCATGTTTTGCCCTATTTTTCCTTATCACTCTGTTCAAATTACAACCGAAATGTAAATATTTCCTGAGTTATTAATGTTGCATAATTGCAACATTTTACCAGTTCAGTAATAAGATCACGATGCCTCCACTTTGGCGGTGCAAGATTTGGAAATGATTTATGAGCCCCTTAACTGTGTGGTATAGAAAATATCTATCTTCACATCCAAGTCCATTTGATATGGTTGTCCATTAGCTGTTGATGACCACAGTGCTTCCATATGACTGTGAAATGATCTCAGAGCTCTGCCTGTTTTGTTGCTTACATAAATCTTTTGTGACATCTTGGACAACTTAGACATCTGTGTTTGTGTTCCTGTATTGGCTAAATCAGACTATCAGCTAAGTAACTATAACACTGCTTTGCTGGCCTCCTAGTTTGAAACTCTAAGATGATCTATTACAGTGAAAATGCATTGATTTGCAAAATCCACATATGGTTCAAATAATTCCTTGCAATGAGATACCAAAATAAGCTGGAATTGTCTTTCCTTTTCCATTATTGTGCCAAGGGGATACAACACACCGAGTATAGTAATACAAAAGGAAATACCACCTTCAGTTTTGTGATCAGGAATCTGCTTAGGCTTTGTGAGGTAACACCTGTTATTTTAATTGCTCGCTTTAAATGCTTTAATGCCTGGAAAGAGTTCTTTAATTTTTATTGTCCTACTAGTTGCTGTTTTATGTAATACAGCAAATTTGCTTGAAGACTATGTATCATAATAGAAATGTGTGTATGGCAGGAGGGGGGTTGTTCCCATAAAATGAAAGGATTCATAATTTGCTAAAGATTAATACATCATATTAGTCCTGTGCAAATAATACAAATATCTTCTGATCAGCACAGTCAGCTGAGGAAACACTCTCCAAATAAATGTTCCTATTTCTTCAGGGCCTTAAAGCAGATGGTGCAAATCTTTATTTAAAATTTGCAGGAGTCATGGATTTGAATGTAGTCATGATAAAATATACCTTAACAAAATGTGAGAATGGATTTCTCACTCTCTCTCTCCCCCTGTTAGTCTGTCTCTGCTTGTTTCTTTTCCTCTGCACAATAGTAAATATAACCTCAAAAAGCCCAGGATAGTAAAATTATATTTCTTTTCTTAAATCACAAGTGTACAGTAAGCTTAGATTTTGTTTAGTGGAACTGAAGAAAGGGCGTTTGTATGACTTTCATCACTTTTCTTTCTTTTGCTCTTTTTAAATGAAAGAAATGCCATTTTTAAAATTTTAAATCCATGTCTCTTTCAAGCATTTTCCTTTGTTAAAACATTCAGGGTCATCTTACTATGCCCAAGGCTGCCACCAGTTCTCTATTACTATTGTTTACTCAAGGACAGCCCAAAACTCTTTCCACTGCCTAGAGTTACCATACAGGAGGTGAAAATATTAATGCTACTGTACAAAGGATTGGTTGGATTTAATCTGCAGTAATGTGCACCATTATGACCAGTTCTATTAAAACTAAAATGGAACAGGTGCACAGAAAAGCTGATTTATGCGAGAAGAGACTGAAAATATTGGCTTGATTGGGGCTATGAAAACAAAGACTGAAAGAGGATATGCTCTCTGTTTATAAACACGTACAGAGTGTGAATAAATGCATTGTTGTCAAGGGCTAGAGGACAAGGTTGGTACAAGAACAAATGAGTGAAAATTGCCCATTAATAAATTGAGGGCAAAAGTTAGTAGAAGTTTTCTAATTACCAGAGGCATCAGAGTCTGGAAAAGCTCCTTTGAGGAGAGAAGGAAAAAAAAAACAAACACTTTTAAAGAACAGTTTATGGGAAAAGATCCAACAGGTTTACCCATCATAGCACAAGTGAGGACTGGATGACCCACAAGGTTGTATTGAAAGACCACTTTCAGATGAACATGTTTTTCCTAGGAGAGTGCTGGTCCTCAGCTGACACATTCAGCTTGCTCTGTTGTGTTTCAGCCCAATGCACTCCACCATGAAGAAGAGCATAGAGCATGACTATGTTTTAAGCTCAAGCAGCTAGATCAGGTCCTAAAATCACAGCTCAGTTCCAGGAGCTCACATAATTCTACATTTTAATATGGCTAATTGATTAATAGTAGCATTAGAGGTTCATTTGAACCCTTACATTTTCCAATGGTGACAGCAGGTCAGGTGAGAAATGATACCTTCTTTGGTACAGGTTCTTGACTAAGCTGCTAGCTCTTTTTTTCAGACAAGTGAGAGACAATGGACAGACTGACTTAGCCCTGCTTTCTCCAAGCTCTTGGATATTTTTTCTCTGTGAAGGCTAAAAATTGATTTCTCCTTGTCCTATGAGTTTTCTCTTTTTCATCATACTCCCCAGAACCTAAACAACCTAAGGGAGATATAATGGAGCAAATGATTATGCAGTTCAAGGTCTCCCTTTACTTGTCTTGGAGCTTCATCTAGTTATGCCTTCCCCTCAGCTACTGTTCTTTGGAAAGTGCTGAGAAAGTCATGAAGGGCATAGCGCAAATACGCTATAGCATGGACAGTTGCAGCCCAGAGGACCCAAGGGGTTGTGCAGTGGCCACCCTTTCCTGCTCTGCCCCCTTCTCACTGCTGCTGGCTTTTGGCAGAGGAAGAAGCACTCTCCTCTCTGTCATGAAGGTTGTGATGAAGATATGGCATGCACTGGAAAATAAGGCATGTCCAGTATATGATAAATACTGGAATCATCTTCTTGGCCCAAAGATAAGATGTTTCCATAAGAAAAGGTTTTGCTGCCTTTGGTGCTTATTACAGGAGCATGTGAATAAATTCCTTCCCTCCATGTCTCTCACTACTGATGCAGTTGCTATGTGGTGAATAGTAAGTCTCTGCCTAGGTTGCTTATCTTAAAATAATGAGATGAAGCGGATGCATATTAGGCAATGTATATTAGGTGTCCAGTGTATAGTCTTGCTTCCCACTGGAGTCTCTGCCTCATATGTCCAGGTGATCCTCTTCAGTTCCTTTTTCCTAATTCATCTGTAAAGAGCTATTAATTTAAAATAGCATTTCTTTCCTTATTTATTTGCCTACTCAGATGAAATGTATATCTCATTTTATCCTTGTACCATTTGAAATAGGACAGCCTCCCCTTTTTTCCAAGTTCAGACCAACAAAAGAAAGGTTTGGAACTATATGTTGAACTTCTGCTTTTTCAAAAAAAAACCCACACCCCACATAACCTAGCTTAGATTTATACAGGTGCCAACTCAGCTCAACTTGGCCAGCTTTGTCATTTTTTTTTGACATTTGATGCTTGTATAACAGATCATCTGCCATCTTTGTATCATTATACTGTATCCTCCTTTGAAGTGCAAATGAAAATTGTTTCCTCTCATACAATAGTTGCTTTATATAGTTTTCTTAAGTCAGATCCAAAATTCAAGAATGAGAGATGATATTGGAGAGTCATTGTATAAGAGGCTCGTCACTCGGTCAATGCCAAGTATTAAAAAAATGGCAGAGAAATATACAGCAAATGACTAAAGTTGAATTTGGGTTTGCATGGCATTGCTTTGTTGTTAACCTAAAATCTGAATTTATGATATAATCGGTGGAATTCACAGCATTTAAAATAATAGCTGTCATTAATCTATTGATGTACATACCTCCTTGGCAACGATACAAAAATCTCTTTAGTGTTTGGATTCTGTTGTTAGTTCCCAGGTGATGTATAAAAATATGAGGTACTAACCTAAAGGTTAAAATGAGAACAGTCTAATTAAAATGCACCAAAAACTGCTGAATACAGAAAAAATAAATACTTTTTTGAGGCAGAAAAGATAAATGTTTGAACAGCTAAAAGTCAAAATAGCTTTTAAAGTATTATTTAGCAATATAATGCGGCCATGAAGGTATCAGTATGTATGTTATTACAATGAGTCTAATAGTCTTGCTGTTACAGTTTGGGCATGGTGTATAATGAAAACAGGCAAACTTTTTTTAAATCCTCTGAGAAAGGATATAGTTTAAAATCACGATAAGAAGTTTCTTGAGCTCTCCTTTCCAATTATATTGAAAGTACGACAAAAAAAAATTACATGTATTTTGCCAAAACAACATTTTTTTTTTTTTTTTTACCTTACAGCTAGTGAAATGATACGGACTAAATGAAAAGACGGCATCTTAAGTTGAGAGAAACCATTATCTATGGTACATTAAGGATTAATCAACCAGAAATGCAAGATATTACATGGGACACAGCTGATGCCATGTGTTATTTTTGTTTGCGGAAAAAATTGTGTGTTTCATAAAGAACACGAATAACAGATGAATTAAAAAACTATGACAACCTGTGAAGAATAAAATACTTTTACTGTAGTCAGCAGAGTAGAAATTAAAATTTTCATCTCATATGTTTTTCTTCCAAGCTTTAAAGGAAATAAAAAAATGCCAGTATGTCCAAAGAAGTTGCTTCAAAATAATTAATATAGAGAATGTTAACTGAAGCTCCAAAAATAAAGCCAAAATTGCTGGGATACTTGTCTTAACATTTAGAGAGCTGCTTTTTCAAAAAGCTTGGCTTCCTTTTCACAAGAAAGATTCTGTAATTTGAGTTCAAATCTATCTCCTGGTGTCTCCTAAGTTCTTGATTTTGGATATAGATCAGGAAGCTAGAGGCAAAAAAATGATTATGGCATTTAGTTACAGGTTTAACAGTGCTGCTGTGCTGTATCCTTCAAAAAATTAAAAGCTATAAATATACGAATGAGAATCAGAAATATTCAATAAACTGTGGCTGTATGCAAGGGTATGTTAGATGTAGATGGCTAACAGGAGCTCCTCAAGCACCTCCCTTACTGGGGGGAGGAATCCACAAATTTAAACCTCTAGAAAGTTTGGGGCATCAGTCTCTGTATTGAGACAGATTATGGACAAACTGTTCAGTGTGATGAAAAATAGGTTCTAGTTAAAAAGACTGAGCAATTTTGTGGATTATTTCTTCTGCTTTACAGAAAAATACAGACATAGAATTGCCTTGAAAGCTACCAGCTGACCCTATTTGAGTCATCAGAGAAAGCCTGTGTTTAACTAAAGTTCAAGTTCTTATGTGAAGGTTGGAGTCAGTTGCTGTTGCTTCTGAGCCCATGGTCTCGCTCTGTGTTCCCTGAGGGCCTAATCGTTCAGTGGTGTAAAACACCGTGTTGCCAAACTGCAGAAATCTATGCTATGTAAAGAACTGTTTTTCTGGTTTCCCTAACCTGCCTTAAGGTTAATATTTTAAGCTTAATATTTCACATATTGAAGTATTTACTAAGTTATTTTTCTCTTTAAAGTGTGTGCCCATGGAGCTGAGTGTTCAGCTGTAAGCCTTAATAGGTACCCTATGGAATAAAAAGTTGGTTTTAAATTAGGTCTTGCTATAAACAATTGCATATATACCTAGAAGGCTCTAATGCATTTTCTTTGCCCTTTTGGTAAATGATGTTTGCTAACTAGCACATTGTTTATAGGTTCTTGATATTTTGTTTCCAGGAAATGAACAGTTAAGGCCTGAATAATTGTCTGTACCTTCACAGCTCCTAAGTAATGCTACACTTAGAAATACATCGTGCTATGACTTCCTACTGATTTACACATTATCTGCCAGGGATGCTGTGAAACACTTTTAAGTAAAAGATCAAAGGTAAAAGGAGAGGGAGAGAAAAACTAGAATGAAACAACTAAGCCCAGTTACTTCTACAAAGATTCAGTGAGGTTTGGACACAGTACATTTTAAACTTTTGCAATTATTTTAAGGGTGGTATGTCAGTTGTTTTAATGAGCATGCATACGTTCTTTTTGAGGCTGTGGCAAAGCTCAACATTAGCCATGTAGCAATCACATGCCTCTTGGTCCTCTTAGTTTATTTTTTGTTTATAATCTGGTGGTAACATTTCTGTATTTTAACTTTTATGCATATTCTCTCTCTTCCTTATTTTCCAGGAGATAAATGATGTGGATGTGCAGGAGCTGGTGAGAAGGTCAATTGGAAGGTTAACAATTATTCGACAGACATTTCCAGTCCCCCAAAACATAAGTCAGCGCTGTTTCCGTGGCAACCACAGAATATCTTCATCACTGTGTGATCCGAAGGACCCTTTCTCCCAAAGCATGGAGGTAGTTCATATACCAGTCTATTCCCACCTGGGAACTGTCTTTCTAGAGAAGTTCAAGGGTTTTCCCCAGGGGCTTAGTGTAATTTAATGCTTATTTTTCATGTCTGCTCTGACATGTAGTTTAATGGCTCATGGCATGACAAGAAAATACTTGGGTGGGGGGTGAGTGTGACTGATGGACAAGAATACCTCACTTGCTGCACAGCAACCGAGAAAAAAAAAGTCTGAAAAAAGCCACCTGTTCTCCAGGCAGTGAGGTAGTTGTTTTGTTACCCTGCTAGATTTTATTTTTTGTCATCTCACCGAGAAGAATTTCCTCCCCATAACCAATTTCTCCTGAGTTGCCATGCTTTTCTAAGCCTCAAATGTGTTGTCATTCGGAAAGCCTTCCTGGGGAGAACCCGCATCATCTGTTTCAAGTGTCTTGGTGTATGCACCTAAATCTATGCCGATATTCCAAAGAGGCCTAATTTTCAGGGTCGTTAATTACAAATCACAATTAAACTATAAGAGCCTTCCTACCACATGAAATCAGCAACAGGATCATGGTCACTGCCCTCCTGCTTTTGCATAGTATTTTCAAGAACAAGTCCTCTGTCTCTCTTATATATCTGGTTAGGCTTCGTCATGACAAAGCTATGGCAAATCAGGAGTGTGAAATTGGCTTAAGATGTCAATTTTACTTTGGTTTCTTTGCATGGTCATTTATGAAGTTGTGGAAAGATGACTGGATTGGCAGTGGTGCTGGAGGAGCATATCTGACTTAGCAGCAAAGAGAGCAGTTGTGATGCTGAAAGAAAGGAGTGAGAGAAAACAATGGGAGAGAAATAGGGAGGTGTTGAAGAGTGTCCTTGCTTGAAATGAAAATATGTAAGGGGAAAAGGAGGGAAAGTGTGGCTCATCTTGCCCTGTTTCAAGTTAGGTCTAAGAGCCTCTGCCTCATTAATTATTCACAAAGCAGCCAGTAAGCAACTATTGATGACATGAAAAACTTCGGCCATAGCACACTGCACAGTGATCCTATTAGAGTTCTTAAAATAAGCAGGGCTGTGTAAGGTCAATAGATGCATAGGATCTCTCTAGAGGCTATTTAGGAACTGTGAAAAATCTTTAGATTGCGCTGTTCTGTTATGGCAGCGTGGTCTTAGGGGGAACTTTGGTAGTCTATGGGTAACACATAAAAACTGAGGGTGTGATTACATGCAGCTGCTAGAGATTGCAAAGAGCAGTTTTCATCAACAAAGTTGCTAACTACAGCAAGGCAGAAAACAAGAATTGTGTATCGATGGGAGGCTTCATGTTTCAATTTTTCTCTTCAACTTCACTTTCATTTTCACTTCAAGAGTGAACTGACTCAAGGAAAGAAAAGTTCTAGAAATCAAAGTTTATTCTCTGCAAATTGGCAAATTTCATTTAATGTGTTAGATTGGACCTTATACCTTAACCTGTCCTTGATATAGGTATAGCTTGGAGAGCTGTAATATTCCTATTGAAAGCTTTCATAGTATTTTGGTTCAAAGGAATGATGGAAGCTTGACTAGTTTAACTGTTCTGCACAGCTGAGTTGACTTTTCTCATGCTTTCCCCAAGATGGCTGCACTTTATTAGTAACTGAGACAATACTAAAAAATGAAAGGAAGAAAAACTCTGACACAATTTCCCCCGTGTCTTTGTACGATGCACAGACCTTCAAGTAGCTGTGGGGTTTGTTCGCTGTTTCTTTGTTCTCCCCAACAATATTATAAATTAACTTCTATCCCAGTGGGGAGTTGGAACAATTTATAAATTGAAATTTCTAATGCTTTTTTTTTGTGCCATCGAAGTATGACTAATCAGAAATATTCTCTGGAAATTATGAGGGTGGATTTTTTGATTTATTTTTTCTGAATTACTCCCCCTAAAGTCTGTGTGAATAATTAATTTTTTTCAGCATCTTAATTAAAACACTGAAAAATATTTTGGTGAAGATCTCTCATTGTGTCTCTGGGATTGTCCTACTCGAAACAACAACTTCTATAAATTTGTATCATTTTGGAGGAAAGAAGTTAAAAACTGGATTTGCGGAAGTATTTAGTACCATAACCCTTCTGTCTGAAAACTATGTGCAATAGTCTAGGTATGAATAAAATAAACACCATTAATCCATATTAATTACTCCTACTTAATCTGATTGCTAAATACCTTTCTTCTACACTCTGGAACAAAAAATCACATCTGAATTTTGAATTGCATCAACAGGTTATACACTTAGATACTGCTTGGTGATGCAAGTGTCCAGCCATTAGTCTAAGAGACTTGGAATAAATAAAGGATCAGTAATGGATACCAGGCAATGCATTACATGTCCTAGTAAATTTATGTGGGAAATGAATAAAAGTGTAAAGTGACTTTAATTACAGCCCCACTCTGTTGATCGGGACAGTTAGTAATGAAGCATACTTCTGGTAGTGATAGTGAAGGGTGATTTGAGAAACAGAAATTAATCGTAGTGTCTTTATCATTGCATGATCAGTGATTGATTGCTGTAAATGTTAACTGAACTATTAGTGAAGGAATAACAATGCTTGATAATTGCTGAACTCTGTACTCCTGAGCCCTGTTAGCACTTGATGAAGGCCCAGCAATATTACTCTTAGATTAGCAAGTGCATCCTTCCTCATGAACTGTGACAACAGTCATCTTTTCCCATGATATTGGCTTATGGAAGCTACCTTGAAAGCAATGTCATTTTGTTGGGAAATGATGACTTGGCATCTGTAGCCCTTCATGTACCAATTTAATCTCATTAGGGACCTTATTGTCTCTGCTCTCTAGGGGTTTTGCGCTTTTTTTTTCCTTTGGCAATGGCTTATGTGTAAAATAAACTTGCCTCAGCATAGAAATAATTCCTTCTCTCCCCTTGAAGCAAATGTCCCTGTGGTGCTGACTTCTCTGGGGAAGTACGGTTTTAGCTGGAATGCTTTGAATTCTTTGTAGGTTTACAATATACAGACAAATCATCCCAGTTATTTTAAAAATGCTTGATTAATCTGAACCCAGGTCCTCAATCCATGCTTTTAATCCTGTTACGCACAGTGATGCCTGGCCTGTGCATCTGCGGAAAGTACATTAGTTCATGGGTGAATACTGAAATGGAAATATTCACAGCCACTGCAATCATGGGAGAAGCTTGAGTAAGAATAAAGGAGCATCTCCCAGAAAAGGGAGTGAAGGATAATTGTCATTTAAAGAAAAAGGGAAATAAGGATCAGAAGTTCTGTGCGTTTGTGGTACTAACAAAGTAGAGCTGTAAAGGCAATAGAGGATCCTGGGCGTTTATCAGGAGGGAAAGCAGCAGACCATTACATCTCCTTCAGTAAAATGTGGAAGGCAAAATGCCCCAGGAAATTCTGGCAAGGTAAGGAGAAAGATGACCTCTTTCCTGGATGCTAGGTAGGGAAGGAGTCTGTCACAAAACCTTCCTGTGAGAACTGTACAGAGCAGATTGTGGATGACACAGGCAAAGCCAGCATAAAGATGGAATTTACATAAGAAAATAAAAACATAAAAAATAGGTTACATGGAAAGGAGTAATTAAGCAGGAAGAGAGGCTTTTTTTTTCTGGTTTTTTTTTTTTCCTTTTTCTTTTTTTTTTTCCTTTTTTTAAGGTGATGTGTGGATTTGCCAGTCAGTGTCTCATATCTTTAGCATTATTATGCTTCCTTGGCATAAACACCCTCCCAATAGCTGCAGGACTTTCCCAGTCTTTGGATATTTTTAAGGGGTAGAATAGGGGCATTCTCCACAAAGTTGGCATACTTTCCTATTGTAAGTGTCCTTCTTTTAAGGTTTTGAGCAGATCATCTGTATTGAGAAACCCTTACACAGAGCAGTCAACATATTCCACAAATCTGGGAAATGTCTTTTGGCTTGTCTGTGACTAGTGGATTTAAAAAAAAAAAAAACCAACCAGCAACATTGCCTCAGTTAGCAAATTGCTGCTGGCTAGTTTGATTTCAGGCACTAGGAATGCTTTACATCCCCCTTCACAGTGCAGCTGAGGAAGCTGACTTTCCCTCAATAACTTCAGGCCCCATGGCTTCAAATGACCAATAGGTTATCTAAAAATAATATTCCCAAAGGTCCTTCTCATTTCTGAACATCATTTCTCTTCCTGAGAACCTCTGTTCAGGAGAGCTGAGGTTTCTCTTTATGATACTGTTAGTATCATAAATGTTCCTGCCATTTGAGGACAGAAATGACTGAAATAAAGCTATATTGTAAATTACGTGTTTCAGAAGTGTTCATGATTTCTGAGCTTCTATTCTATTACGTTGAATTGTATCTTTCACATCTGACTTTGTACTGTGTGCATTTAAAAGTACCTATATAGAAATAGTGCATGGGTAAGTGGAACTGGCACACAAGTAATTTATTTTCCTGAGTTCAGCTGTTCTCTCTTTGATGCCATACTGGAACTTCCTCGCACTGTATGTGTATAACTACGCTCACAGTGAAACATATATGAATTTACTCAGTAAGAGTTTCATCCTGCAAGGAATTAACAGCCATTGCCATATACTCTGACAGGAAACACTATAAATTGCAGAATCGACATGCACACTAAGAAAGATTTCATTGGGTCATATTTAATTCCAGAAATTGCCTCAATCACAATTGACTGCAAAAATCAGGAACAAAAACCATGCTGAAATGATTTAAGTTTTCAGAGTTTCTGTTTTTCAAAAGAACAAAACAATCTTGAAGAGAATTTGATGGTGTCCAAATACCTGGTGACTGAAGAATTGAAAGTTGCAGGCAGCTGGTTAAAAGTAAAAGAAAGTCTGTTTACGTTCACAAGTAGGGTTTAAATCCTGCAAGTGGAGCTGTGCCAGTGATTGGGCTGCCTGTACTTCACATGTAGTAATGCTTTGTAGTGTAGTAGTGTAGTTTGGTGCTTCAAATCACTTGTTGTGTGACAGCCCCTAGCTGTAGTTTCTACCAGAGCCAAAGAGATGACTTTTTACTCTTACAATTTCTTCTTAATACCAAATAAGTTGTTTAATTACCAGAGGATTATGGGTGAGGCAAAACAATTGATAAATTCTGGCTGCTGGCAGAAGACCACAAATAATAATGCTAATACTCCCTTTTGAATGTCTTTGCAGATTTCAAACCTGTATATATATGACACGGTCCTCCTGTTGGCAAATGCCTTTCATAAGAAGCTGGAGGACAGGAAGTGGCACAGCATGGCCAGCCTCACCTGCATCAGGAAGAACTCTAAACCCTGGCAAGGAGGACGATCCATGTTGGAAACCATTAAGAAGGTACCTTTTCCCTGTATTTCCTCGTCTTTGATTTCTAAAATACTTACATTAGGCAGTATTTCCTTCTGAGTTGCGTATTATTCTTGCAGTGCCTTTTCAAAGCAATAGTTTTGATATACTTACAGTTTCTGAATGAAAATAGTCTTTAACTGGTTTTGTTTCTTTTCCATGTCATAATGAGCATATTTGAAATGCAGTCAATGAGTTTGTTTACCAAAACTACCAAACTACTAGAATTTTCAAGTACGAATAACATCCTATTGAAAAAGTGTCACAGGTTAGGAGGTAAAGCAGATAAATTCACTATTTTATTTGTAAAAAAAAAAAAAAAAAGGTTGCAGAACTAAATTTGGGTAATGTTCTGTGGAATTTGCTGTTGTACTGCTATTGACATTAATATAGTGAAATAATAGAAATGAGAATGAGGAAAACCCTAACTCATCTAGTCTATATCCTGCCATTGCAGAACTGTTCCCTGTAACAGTCTCTACAGTGCTTTATCCAATGTTAAGCTGTCACTACTTCCCTGTGATTATTATTTCATACCTTAATTATGCTCATGCCCAAGATGCTTTTCCTGCTCTTCAGTCTTTTAAGACATTTTTTCTTAGTTATTCCCTTTCTTCATGATGTTTAGAGCCTCCGTGTACTTAGAGATGATTATTACAGCCTTCCAGGTCAGTATTTAGTCAAAATATGCATAGGTTGGTAGTTTACCCTTCCCCGTAAGTTTTTCGGTTCAGTCTCCTGAAGTTATTGATGTCTTCCATAAAAATGCCTTCTCATTTGTCTGTATATACTTCCTGGTAATGTATACTTATTTAATTTAAAGTGCTGTCAGTGCCTACATTGTAAATACAAAAAAAACCCCAGGACAGTTAAAAAAAAAAAAAAAAAAACCAAAAAAACCCCACCTTTATTTATGGCTTTCATTAAAAGGACATAAAAATAATTTAAAATATAATGTTGTTTCAAGAAGTTGCTGTTCTGCATTAGGTCTTTAAGTACACCAGAAATTATGATGATGCTGGCAAAATGTAAGGCTCCTTTGAACACTGCTTATTTTTTCCCCAGTCCTGGGTCAATCTGCATTAGCTCCGAAATAACAGTTCAAGGCTTTCTTTGGTGGCTGTCCCCAGTTTCCATTCTAATAGTTTGCAGTCGTGAGACTGCAAGGATAATCCAGGACACATTTCTTATTGCAGGGGCAGGATATGTCTTTAAGGGACTCTAAACTGTATTGCTTTTAACCTATCAGAGCAATTTCAAATTCACATTTGGCAGTCCTGTGTATTTTAACCTATGTTTCAGGCAAGGCTGGTTCTGGAACTTTTCTTATCAACTTCCATTTTGTAAATATTATGGCACACTTTTTCATTAATAAACTAAAAGCCATTTCTACTTACTCAAATCCAAATAGGACGCCTGAGCCGGAAGCATCAAAATACCCACTTCCACTTTAGAATTAGAATTTACTATCTGAGCTGGAGTTTCAGGCAAAGTGTGGTAGCTCTACTAGCATCTCTAAATTTAGAAGTACTCCACCATGGAAAGGGCTGCTGACTCTTTTGCGTTATGATTATTTGCTTGCTTGTGTTGTTTGTGGGTGTGAGACTGATCCTGTTCTCCTATATAAACATCCTTTATGCTGTTTCTTACCACCGTCTCATCTCTTTGCATCTCAGAGTTTATTCCATTCTTTGCCACATCGTCCTAGCTATCCCGTTTATCTTCTTCCAATTCTCAACTCTTAAAATGATGTGATTAATAAAACAAACTCCTTCTGTGACCCTTCACAGAAGAGCTGCACCATGTTGAAGGTCAATTCATATAGCTCTTAACCATGAAATAAGAAGAGAAATGGCCAGGAGAAATATGAAAGCACTCAAGAAGGCAGGAGCAAGTGGAAATGCTGGGGTTGTGGTTAGCTTGCTAGAAAATTAATCAAATGCCAAGGAAATTCCTGATGTGTACAGCTAACCAGGCTTGCACCCTGTTGCTTTTGGGTTTCTCTGCTATTTGAATGAGATGGCTTTCATAAGAAGCCATTTTATTGGTGTAAACTGAATAATCCAAATACTCCTTGTACTGCATTTTGCTGACAGAGATTAATTTCTAGAAGTAACATGCTAAAATTGAGAGTAAAAATTTAATCCAAAATGAAATACAGAAATTTCCTGAATTTTCCTAGGCAGAGGAAAGCTAAAGATTGCAGCTGAGATCTGGAATTGCACAAGAAAGAGGTATTCTGCTTTAGTTTTGTGGTCTACCTTCTCTTTTGCTTCACTTTTTGCTTTCAAAGAAAACAGGAAAAAGCTACCATGTGGTATTTAAATAGTTTCCGAATAAAAGGTTCTGCATTTTCATTTTGAAATCACCACTGTTTCAAAGATGTAGTATATAATGGAATATCATAAGAAGATATTGTTATAGTTCAGGGTGAAGGAACATTCTGAGATTTCTTAAATGCTCCTGGAAAAAGAACTTCCATCCTCTGCAGAACTTTAACTCTACATTCACAACAACATGTATCACAGAGCTGGAATCACCATCTTCTCCCAGACTGCCGCTCACCTCAATGTAGTTTCGGTGGGTGTCGCATGGTAGCCAAGTTGGGGTGGGGGGTAAAGAGGTAAGGAAGAGAAGCTTAATTCCAGCCTGCCTGCCTTAGAAAAGGACTAGCAACTGAAGTAGCTGTTCTCCTGGCAGCAGCAAAGCGGAGGTGATGTTGCCACCTACTGATGTGTACAACTGAGCTCTTGTTGCTAAAAAAGCAGGAAAAACTAGTTCTAGAGGAAGATTTTCTAGAAGAAAATCTATCTTCTAGAATCAGAGATCCAGAAACAGGAATATCTGGCAATGTTTTAGCTGCTGAAGGAATCTCTCTGATTTCTGGAGGGGAAAACAAGAAAACAGATGGGAAATCTCTGTAAGCTACACATTGAAGAAAATTAGAGAAAGGGACACTGACATTCTACCTTCAGCGGCACTTGTTAAAAATAGGAGAACCCTGGTGGTAAATAAACTAATTTCTTTATGACTAATGAGGTAATAGGGAAGAGTAGGGAATGAGGGCGAATTACAGTTTCAAACATTTCTTGAAATGGCAAAATAGCTGTCTGAATCATTCCCTATTGTCATTTGTTGCTTTTCACTGTTGAACATTTTATTCCTGCGTCTCTAGTTCTACAAACAATTCCAAAAGCTGTTTTTTTCTGTGTGAATTCAGCTGATTGGACAAAGCCTAAAAAATAATTTTAAACCCACTACAATTATTAAAATCTAATATCTGTTTCTACCCATTCTGGAACTGAATAAATAGTTAAATTCATCAGGAAATACAATCCTTCTAATGAATTTGGCCAGCTCTAGCAATTAGTTCTAAATTCACTTCTGTAATAGCAACTATCCCCAAACACATGCTCACTTGTTTATTCCTCAGTAAAGCTATTTCACAGTGAGAGAAAGAAGTATTACTAGAAAATAATTCTATTGTGGGAAAAATTAATCTTCCTGAATAGCCTGAGAATAAATGTGAGTAGGATTATATGGAGGAACAACTCAGAAAAATGACATCAAGTTAATGCATATATCTTCTCTCACATTTACCTGATCTCTTCCCAGTCACATTTGTTTAGCTCACTGACAAACAGCAAATTTTTAGTGGTAGCAGGACCGTAGAGCCTACTCCTTTGTGGAAAATGAGCTGTACCTAGTGTTGTTTCATGAATCATGCGTGGAATTGTCAACTAGTTCTTGTCTCAGAAATGTCAGTGATGTTCAGTGGTCATGTGCAAAAAAGATGCCAAATTGTTTTTCAGGCAATAGATTAAGCTCTCTTTGCTAGCAGCTAAAAATGGTATGTTGAGTTGAAAACTCAACAATGTTTTCAATATCAGATTTTTTTCAAGAATAAAATGTGAAACTCATATTTAATCCTTACAGCATTTTTTTCTGCCTGTAACCACAGTTTTTTCCTTAATTGCAAAATAGCTAGTGTCTGAGCACAACCATATTTTGAAAAGAAGAGGAAGTTTGAACAGGAACCATGAGAGCAAGTACCATATTTTATAAATGATGATTGGCAAGCTGATGCTCCCAGGTGAGGTCCTGACTGCTGGGTAAATAGTGCTTTCTTCAGGGACTTACAGTATAGTAGAGCCTAAGAATATATAAACTGTAGTTTATCTTGCCAGTCTAGACAGGACTCAAGTAGGCTTTAACTGTATTGCCAAGCTTTATAACAGCTTTGCAAAGCCCACAGCAGTGATCAGAAATGTAAGTAAAACATTTTTGTCCTAACAACTGACATTTCACTCTTCAGTTTTAAATGTGTAAGGAAATTGCATGGTTGTGGCTCAACCTTAGAGGAATTTGAGAGAGTGGATAATAAATCTGTCTTCATTTTTCCCCAAATAACATTGTTTCTGTCAGTTAAATGGAATGAAAAATTTCTTTTACTCTTACCCATTATCGTAATTAACACTAAAATAACTTGGAAAAATCTCATCAGGAAGTTACTGGATCAGTTGCTGTCATACAGATGGCCATTTTCTCTGTGATCTCCTTCCACTATGCATTAGCGGAGGGATAAAACACATGCCATAAATCAAGTAAGCATCTTAGCAGGATCCACGCTGTGAAAGACTATGCAGAAAAATTGGAGCAGTGTCCTGAAACTCTTCCTAGGCAATATGCTGTCCCACTCTATCAGCCCTAAGCAATAAAACAGGCTCGTGCAAGCCTTGTAAAAAGGCTGTGCGGAAAATGCGGACTAGTAGAGAGCAATAAAAGGATTACCTGGCCTGCAGGTCCAGCAAGGTAGGTCCCAGGTAAGGAGGAAGCATCAGGACCTCCAAGAAGTTTCCTATCGGATTTAGTATTGTTCTTGGTATTATATGGGCGGTTCTTCACTGTTTTGTCTTTCTGCCTCTGCCCTTTCCAAGCCAGGAGCGTTCCCATCTAATCTGAGCTCTTATTACACTCTTTGCAGATGTACACAGTCTAGGAAAGAAAGCTCTAATCAAAGACACTCTTACACGAGACTTTGTCAAAGCATAATAAAATTGCCAAAATAGATGAATGAGAAAAATTGTTGTTATGGTTACCACTGGATTTCAGACAAATAAAAATAACTAACAGACTTACTGTTTGTATCTTGCCCCAACAGTGGCAGCCATTTAAAAATCAAGGTAAATAAACTTACACGATGGTTTTGGATAAAGATTAATTTCCAAAATATGGTAGTCAAGCCTCTTAACCTGTACTGTATGTTAGGGGCCATGTATTTCCATGGAGTCCTCTATTTTCTTAAAAAGTGTATTTCACTACTTCAGATGTAACTGAGGTGAAATACTTCTTCAAATGATCTTTTTTTTTAATCATATTTGCTCAATAAGGATAAATGTTATAAAAAAATTTTTAAAAAGACTAAAATTTTAAATTGCTGTCTCAAGTTTCAAAAAATAATTTATATTTTAGACATGATTCTATCTTCATGCCCCATAAATTCTTGGGAGCACTCTTAATTTGGAAAATAAAGTCCTTTTACTTTTCTGCACTGAAAGTTCCCAGTTTAAAACTACTTTGTCACAAAATAAGAAAAAATGGAAACACTTTCTGCTGTACAAAGCATCTGTGTTAACAGATTTTAATTATTTTTGTTGAATATTTCCTTTCTCTTATGTTTTTGTTCCAGAGTTTTCCCTTTCTTTTTCCAGACCTTGCTTGTGGCTCACTTGAAATTATGGTGCAGCTCAGGTGGTCTGTAACAGTTTAATTAATTTCATACTTTACCTGCCTCAGACCCCCAGCTTTAATTCACATTGTGGGGGAAAAAAATTTAGGAAGTAATATAGGAAATATGAAGTATAATATAATAAAAGCAGTATATGGTAAGGGGTAAGAGTGGTGCAGGACTAGGAAGAGGTGTATACTGTCAGGGAGGGCAAGTCAGCCAGATGGAGGCTTTCAGGGGTCAGGTGGGGATCCCAAGCCTTGCAGATCTGTGCTGCTTTGCAGGCATTTCTGCGTCACATGTACCGTGAAATTCTGACTTAATCAACAAGCCAGATGAGACCATATGAGAAAAAAAGGTATGTGGAACAGGTTTTTATTTCTGGTTCATGAATAGGACGCAGTCAAATTTAAGTTAGCAGAAAACGTTTATATTTGTGAAACTCAGTTATTTACCTATGGATATGTTCAAATGATTTTGCAGGTAAACACAAGCTCACTCTGTCTTTACTCTGAACCAGCCATAGATGTGCTAACCCCAATCTAAAAGCCATGAAGGTGTGCTTATTACAGGATTGTGCTCAAGCTAACAAGTAACCTCAGTGTCATGCTAACCATAGCGACATGCATCAAAATTGCCTGGCTGGCTCTCACTGAGGGCAAAATGACCTGGAATCTTCCTGCAAAAGACTGCAGATGTCCCCTTAATCAGGATGTTGTTTTTTCCTTTTTTTTTATTTTTATTCTAGTATCTCATCCAAAAAGCAAATATTACAGAAAAGATTTAAAAAGATTAAATATATACATACACACAAAGTATTATCTTGCTTTTAACTGAAAATGGCACTTCATGAAATATTTATGTATTATTCCCTGACAATACTAGTCTCTAGTAGTCTCTAGTAAGTTTTAAAGTTATTATCTCGATGATCAACTTCCTTATTTCTATTATAATCATATTAATGTTTTATAAAAGGATGACCAAATTTTGTTAGTTCATACTAATCTGCAATGCAGATGCAAATTTTGTACTCCTTCCTGGATTTTCTCCAAACTGAAGATGTGAGAATAGGGCTTTTAATATAATGATTCAGCAAGACTCATGTGCTTAGCTAGGTAGTTTATATTGCAAGAGCTTATTTTCCAGTTTTTTCAGTTCAAATAATAAAGCTCTTAACTGAAAGAGCAATTACAACTGCAAAACTCTTGACTTATGTTTTGAAGAAAAGCTATGCATTTCATATGGTTTTACACCAGAGGCAGATTTTTTTCTTGTGCATACTTAAAACACTGTTTAAGTTCTTTTGAGGAAGTGGGTTAAACATCTAATTTTCCCTGAATCTGAAAACTGAAGAAATTTTTTAAGGCTGAAGGTTTTCATTGTAGGTATTTCACGTGGCTCTGTTCATTTTACAGTTCAGGTCATCACCATTCTTATACAAAGATGAAATGTGTGTCGTGTTGAATTAACCCTGGCATATATTCTGAGTATTGCTGTTGCATGTATAACCCTTTCAACTCTGATTCTTTATAGTAAAAATTCACTGTTTCCTCTTTAGTATTTTAACCCCTTCTGACTAAAATGTGAAAAAGTAAAAGCAAGCTTGAAAATATGTTGCATTATTGCTCACCTCACACATTCTCAGTAGTAGATACGAGTTGTGGAGGAAAACAGAAAAATCACTACATTCAGCTAGACAAGCCTCTCTTCATTTGTGCAGATCACTTATGTTGGCCTCAAAAAACACCTAACTTGATCCAAAACTCAGCCTGATCTTATGTGGAAACATTTGGAGGAAAAAGCAAAAGAAAACAAACAAAACTATTTTTTTGTGCAATTTCTTTTATATATTTGTCTTTAGTTTTGCTTCCACTAAAATTTTTTTTTTTTTTTTTTTTTTTTTTTTTTTACTGGGGCCAGAATGTCTATACGTATACACGGATGGGTCAAAGAACAAAAATTGGAATGCAAATACACTAAGAGTAAGACTGTTGTTTGTGTTGCATCTGCATAGCATTGCTGAGTTTGATTCTTCTGTGACGAGCTTAAATGATGCAGGAACAATTTAGGCTTCAGAATTTTTAGGGAAATGTGGTCTTTGGAAAACTGTCCTAATTCTGATAAATGTGTATGTATCTGCAGTTAGTACACAAATCCCTTGGAGAAACAAAAGGTTATTATAATTGGCTACTTCTGTGTTTTCACTCCATTCTCCTTTTTTCCCAATAGGGTGGAGTGAATGGCTTGACTGGAGAACTGGAATTTGCAGAAAATGGGGGGAATCCCAATGTGCATTTTGAAATTTTGGGGACAAATTATGGAGAAGATCTTGGCAGAGGCATCCGCAAGGTGAGGCTACATATATTCAAACAAGAGACTATTTTTACTGATTTTTTTAAAACCTTTCTTGTGTTCCATGTTAATAGAAAAGTGTTTGATGGCAGATAACATGTTGTTGTGTATCGTTAAGAGGAGTAAGAAGTGGGAGAAAGGTCTTGAACTTCTAGATACCCATCTATTTTATTATTGCAAAGAGGCCTTCCAGTGGGTCACATTGATCAAGGTGGTGTTTGTAATACAGAATGTGTTAAGCTGCTGGGTGACTGTCCCAAAAGACCAGTGAAAGCTGTTGTTTTGTAATCGTTGCAATCCATTTCCAAGATAGCAAATTTTACACTGAATTATGTTTAAAGTACCCAGATTGACACTTGATACTTATGGTCAAAGTGGGATGCTGCAACCACTAGATGATTAAAATTCGTAGGTACAGAAGGAGAAAATCTGCTGTAACATAGGCAAAATTTCTGTAACCTCTTGTCTTCATGAAATAAGTACACAATGTTGTTAGTAGAAATTAACTTTTACAGAATAAGTATAATGTTACGTATTCAGCTGCCAGACACAGTCTAAATACTTGGACTTAGATTGTTTGAGAGAATGGCATACATCTCGAGCAAAATTACTTTTTCTTGGTATTTCAGTTTTGCTAGTCTGTAAAAATAAATTTAACTCCTGTGTAAGGAATGGTGGAAGCAGGTCTCTACTTACAATGCATACCCTTAACTTTGGACAACTGTACATCTGGGATGGCAAAAGTAGCAAAAATCATATGGTACCTCTCAGGAAAATAAAAGACTAATAGGGTTTTCCAGGAGCAACTCTCCTTCAAAGACAGACCTCCTGAAAGATAATACCTAGATCCCTTCATTTAGTGCATCAGATTACACTGGTTTTTATATGTGAGGAACCTGAAGTGATTGAAAGCAAATGACAGAGAAAGTTATCTTAATACATGTAAACTGGTTCCATGTGTCAGTGTCATTATATGATGAAGTACATCATTTGTCTGCATATCTCCTGCAGTAACAGATAAGTGCTCTGAAAGAAGGGAGAGATAAATAAGAAGTTAAAAGTGACTCTAAACTCCTGAAATTTCTCCTCTGCTTTCCATGGAATTGTTATTCCGTTCCTGCTATTTCATCTGTTGTCAATACCTTAATGTACACACATGCCTATAGCTATGTCACCTTGAGAGAGATCCTGACAGATGCTTTGGAAACTAAACAGAACTGGATTTTGTTGATATTTGGAGGTGCGCTTCGCAAAGTCTTTAGGCAACCAGAATGTTGAGTAAGTCCTTACTCCCTCACCTATAAATTCAGTCTGTTTCAATATATTTTGACTTGATTTATTTTCCATGCTATGCATCAGGAGCTATTTATTCTTTAGAGCAACCAGGTAGTCCTTCTTAAGACAAATCTGTATCTCTTCATTTAGTCTGATTGGTTGACTTTGGCTGTTTTTTGACTTCAGGCCTGTCTGGGTGAATGCCTGAGTGAAGCATTAAATTGTGCTCTTCCATTTCACAAAAAAATAGAAAAGAGAGAGAAAGACCCACAGAAAGGTCTTGGAAATATAGAAGCGCAAAAAGACTCCCTAGCCTAACTCTTTTCTGATGGTATAATTTAGATTTATAGTGCAAATTTAAACTATGTTACAATTTACTTTTAAAGAAGAAATTAACGACCATGGGCTAACATAAGTTGTGCAAAACAATGAGATAGTGCAAACAGGCTTTTTGAACCTTCCTTGTTTGCCCTTTATCATAGTTAAAAGACAAAGAGACATTCACTGTCTTTGAAAGGAAATAGATTTGAAATTGGTCAAAGAGAATAGAGTTTTGCACAAAATGTAATTAAACCATGGAACTCAGTGTCACAAGACCCTGTTCAGGAGAAAAGCAAAGTTAAAAATTAAGATACTGAAAGTAGGCAATTTTTTTTATGTTTGTCAATTAAAATTAAATCTAGAGAGTATAAGAAAATTTTCCTATAGAAGGTTGCACTACAAATGTCTATCCTTAGAGTTTTGTGATGCACAGCAGCTGGTTAAAAAGAAGAAAGTGTCCAGAGCAGAACAGATTTAATCTGTTCCAATTTTTTTTCTAAACAGCATTCAGTGATCCAGAGAAAGCTTTAGAAAGAGTCTTGGTGTAGAGAAAGGAATTTTCTTTAGAAATATTGTGGGTTTTTACACTAAATTGAATAGTGAAAGGATTTAAAATAAATATGGTATTTGTAAGCAATGTTACAAAGTTAAAAAAACAAGCTGGGGATCCTAAAACATTTACATCAGAGACAGAGAAAATAAAATTTTAAGGGGAAAATGCCATATGTTGGTTTTACTCTTTTGACAAAAGCTTAGATATTTTATCTTTGATTAGGTTTTACTTTACAGTGTATGAGCCACTAGCATTGGAAGCAAATCACAATAATTACAGGAGTCAGATATACTTTTGTTAGCTATACTAATTAAAGTGCACTTCAGATTTTCATGTATTTGGTGGTCTGACTACAGACTACCTAACCATTTTTATTTCTCAACTCTAGTGGAAGCAGCTGCAAATAGCAGACTGACTGAAATTTCCAAACAAATGCATCTTCCCTAATTAACATGTTTCCAAGTACTTTTATAGGGGATAATGAAGAGTGAAATAATGACAAAAACCCCACTGAAGTAATTGGGACGAGAAGTTCACACCAAGTCAAGTGTGTAAAAAAAACTTTGTTTTTTTCCTGAGGAACTATCAATTGATTTTAATTAAAGCAAGAAAAATTTTAAAAAGCACTCAAATTTCTCAAGATTCCAAATTCTGCTTGAAGGCGGTTCTGTTTGGGTTCTGGAGTAATTTGGTTACTTCTGAAAAGTTTACTTCTATTCACAGGTTAATATTCCTAGGACTCAAAAAAGCAAAGAGTTGAGGAAAGACCAAGAATTCATGTTTATGTTTGGTTTTATTGGCCAAATTCAGCCATGTATCTAGCAGAAGCTGTCTGCAAGTCCCCTCCTTCAACTTTCATGGGCTACTGTCATACCTGGAAAGCAGTGGGAGCATTCATGCAAAAGTTCATTGTGCTGGGGTCCTTCATCTAGTGACAAGTTAGCAAATTCAGGAGTGAGATTTGCCTGAGATAAATTTTGCGCCGTTGTGTCTGTAAATGCCATCCATCACCTTGCAGACCACAGATCACTTAGGCTATATGTGTTGCCAGAGTTGGGTACTTGGAATAATACAGTCAGATCACTGCCAGGTACGGGTTTTATTGACGCCAGTGGTGTTACCACCCCAAAGGAACTGCAGAAAAACTCTTGCTTTTATACATCATGCTATGGCTTGTGTTTGTGCAGATATAATTATATTCAGTGGGAGACACGGGTGTATTTCTGACATTTCTCTGTTGCATTTGTCTGTTGGTATTTGACATTTGAGCATGTATTCTTTGACATTTAAATTTCAGTGCAATACTTTTATCTATACTGCTGAAATAAAAGCTGCCATTCCTCTGAATAACCATCCAACAAACAAACGAACAAAAGGGAGTTGATAGCTCAGAGGAGTACTGCCTTATATCTTGGTGGTGTAGAAAACAGCACTGCAGAAATAAAGTGGTTTTCATGTTTCTTCCAGTGCTCCATGTAAACCAGCACGCGCTCATTCTCAGAGGCTCTATGATACGCCTTTTGAAGTTTAGAGGACTTTCTTCCCATTCTCAAACTGGTTTTCTTATCACATGTGGACATTTGGAGATTGTGGTGCATTTTGCTCTGCCTTCATATCCCTGTTAGCGTACACCCACCTCTTGTGCATTTCTCTTCTCTTCTGAAGATGGTTTCTGTCATCTCCTCCCAGTGGGGGAATGAGATGGCACACCAGGCTCTCACATCTCTTCAGCTCTGCACCAGGATGTCCATGTCAAGGCTTTCTTTGCATTCAGGACACCTAGGGATGCCTTGGAGCAAGGATAGAGCCGTGGGCATGCAGCAAAACAGATACCCTGGGTGAGACAGCTGGGTAACCCAGGATGCTTTGAGCCCTCTGTATTTGTCCAGTAGGATTGTAGGGCTCTGTCCTAAATTATTTTAATTTGATGACCTTAAGGAGGAAATGTTATGTATCTTAATGCAAGGGATATCTGTAGTGCAAAGCATTTCATATGAATGTGACTGAAGGCCTTTGGCCATAATGCCTGACAGATGTGGTGTTCCTCTCTCCTTCTGCCAGTGCAAATGGCAGGACCTTCCCTGTGGAGTCAATGCATGCAGGTTTTTATTTCACAGATTATTAGGGGTTATGTGGAACATTCTATAGTTGTGTTATTTCTTTAGTGATGGGAAATTTTATTGCATTTTTTATTTTCATTCTAGTAAAATAATTGCTACTTCCACTTCATCTGAGAACAGTTGTTGATTACAATAGTGGCATTGCTTTGTTATCCAGCATATAATTTTTTCTCACATTTGCATCACGAAGCAGCATATATTCCAAGCGTATATTTTGACAGTGGGGAAGTTGCTGTCTCTTCTTATAAAGTTAAAACTTATTTTTTGCATCTTTTATCTCTTATTCCCTTTTGCTCAATTAGGTAAAAAGAGAAGTTATACAGCTCTGCTGATACTTATTAACTAACTATTAACTAACACTATTTAGTAACCAAGAGCAGACAAAGTATTTTCTTCTTGGTTAGCTTCTTGGTTAGCTACTTGAGGTAAATGATGCGTTCACCGGTTCCCTTTGTGATCGTGATCAAAGGTAGAGCTCTGTAATGTGACTTAAAAAATGTTTATATATATCAGCACCTGGTACTTTAAGCTGTGATCTGTTTCAGCTGTTTCTAAAGGCTGACATGCAATTTTATAATGTGACTGAAAGATATACTTGCAAATTACAGAGGCATGGTGTATTTTCTAGTGAGTTGAAAAGAAATGTTGCTGTGTCTGACTGCTTTGCTTCTAGTGTTGATAGAAAAGATGGACCTGGCAAAGTACTAATACGATACTCTCTCTAAAGC